ATCAGATCAATTATATAAATAAACACATCTCAAGCAACAATAATCATATTGATTGGTTTTGCTTTCATTTAACTTAAATATTTCCAAATAATAAAAATGGAGAACTGAAATTCTGTAAAGTCATAAATCTTGTTTATTCTGTGTTTCATGGTATATCTCAAATTTATTATAATCTTAACGTTTTATGAATTTACATTTTAGCAGAGGACCTAATGTTTCCCATGGAATCGATAGAGGGCATCGTCATTGTCAGTTTTTTGGTTTACATTTCTTTGAAATTTGTATGCTTTAAGATCTCAATTTCATAGCACATGCTTCCATTTGAATCAATCTATTATATATTTCACTATATTGTTTGTTATATTCACTCAATATAATTTATTTCTTGTATCCTTCTTAAAATCCATTTCTTCTTAGGGAAATGCATGTTGCAGTGAGAATTGTGGGCAATGTAGTGATATTGGGTAGCAATGTCATTTGCTGATTGTTTTTATTGATGTTAAGTTTTTGATTAATTACTTGATTTCAATTGCTTTTGTTAGAATTTGAGGTGTAAAAGTTCGAGCTTCAGGTCTATCGAATTTGATGATGTCTGATCTGGTGGATTCAGGTGAGCAATAATTATCATCATACAATGTGATGGTTGTTGAAGATGAATCTATTTTGCGGTTTTCTTGATATAAACAATAAAATTGCAACTCTAACGCAGGAGAAAGCTTGCCAAAGTTACGACAAACTGCAGCGAATCATGTGAAGCAATTACAAAGGCTTCAAGAAAAGGTAGGTGTTTTTTTCTTTGTATTGCTAAGGCTGGAAGTTGACAAAATCCCAAGAAAAACCATAATTTTTTTTTTATGTTTTATTATTGTCATCTAAATGATACTAAAATGATTTGATTCTGTTGCTAAACTTTTCTAGAATTTGTACGGAATGGTTGAACTTCTCTAGAATTTTGTCTCAAGAAAGGATATTTCATTAGCTTTTCTAGAATTTTGTCTCAAGAAAGGATATTTCATTAGGAGGAACAAAATATAACAATACCAAGCAATTGCTCCTTGAAGGCCATCTTGATGATTTAAGTTCCTTTTGTTGAGTCCGCAGCTATTTCAAACCCCCAAAATGTGATTGAAGTTTGATCACCTTGGTTTTGGAACCTTTTGTAATGTGTACTTGTATGGCTTGTAGAATTTGATTTAAGCCAAATTAAAACTTCCTATTGTGTGATTAAACTTGTAATACATACTTAAAATTTTCTTTTTTGTTTCCATTATGCTTGGCCTTCTTTTAGTGTTTTTTTTTTCTGAAAGAAACGGTTAGGCGTGATAGATTGCTCTTGAGCAAAATGCTAAGTTTGGATTCATGCTGGACAATGAATAATTTTAGTAACATAAACTTCTGATGTAATGCGCTTTTTAAACTGTTATTAATGTAGGTTAACACGACCTTCATAAGAATTTAGAGAAAACCCTCTGTAAATGAAGTTTTTTTCTTTGATTACTACCTTTTTTTTAAGAGGCTTAAGAAATTCTAATCCAAATTGGATGAAGCACTGTTTCCAGGTATCAATTTTCTAATATGAAATTTATAGATTGAACTCAACATTTTTTTTAAAGAGTCCTAATGGAACCTGTAAAAAAAGAATAGAGAGTTGGGATAGGGATAGCTTTTTGTGAAAAAGGAATAGAGAGGAAAGTTGGGATAGCATGAAATAAATGTCTGTATAAGGGCGGGCTTCTAGTTATATATCTCAGAGCACACAAAAGTTGCTCCAATCATTTTCAGGAAGTAATATTTTTTAATCTTTTATTTTTAATCAGGTCCTGATGACAGTGTCTATCAGCATGTGATTCTTTTTGATATGGTGCTTAGTCCATTACAATCATTTAGGCATTTTGTATTCAGATGTCAAAGATCTAATTTGCATTCCTTTGCAAATGTTTTATGCATACACAATTAAAAAATAACTATGTGAAGAAGATGATTTGAGTAGAGTATTTCCTAGTTTAAGTTGATTTATTTATGTTTTATTGAGCTCAATCTGAGCTTAAAAATGAGTTGCCCTTTGAAAGCTTCTATTGCATTTACAAGTTTTGGAAAAATCCCCTAAATCTTATATATGTTATAATCAATCATGAATTTGCTTTTAGCATTTATCAAACTTAACCAAAATTTGGTGTGATTAAACTATATAATCTCTTCATTCAATATCAACTTATTGGTAGTTGTTCATAAACCATGGTGAGATTACCTCAATGAATTTTTGTTTTCTTTGAAATCCAAAAAGTTACTGAATGAGCTCGAAATTTTTTAAAGGTCCTTTGTGTATTTTTATTCAATGCAGATATAGTGAAATTATCTATGCAGCTGATTATGTTATACTTAAAATTTTTGCCTCCAAATAACAACTCAAACTCATAATTCAGTTAATCCAAACTTGTTATACCTCTTTGTTCTTACATGAGTAACTTCTTTTTACGAATAAAATTTGAAATATATTTTTGCTACTTCTTAATCTATTTCATGAAATTCTCTTTTTTTTTTGTATCTTATTATGATAAATTCAATGTGGTGTTACTTTCTTACATGCAGGATCCAGAATTCTATCAGTACTTGAAAGAAAATGATAAAGAGCTCTTGGACTTCAATGCTGAAGATATTACAGTACTGTTCATATTTTTCCATTAGAAATAAAAACTTGTATATATATGAAACTGGATAAATCGACCTGTCCTTTACTTTGCTTTTCAAGGATGACGAAGGATCTGATTTGGAGGACGATGTGGATTCTAAACTTACTACAGAGACTTTTCAAACACCATCGCCCAAAGTGATCACCACCACAAATATCGACTCCTGGTGCACGGCAATTAAACAGAACAGAAGTCTTGGATCTATCAGATCCATGCTTCGAGCTTTCAGGACAGCATGCCATCATGGCGACGATGCCAATGATGGTTCAGAACAGAAGTTTTCCATACTTTCCAGTAGTGTGTTCAACAAAATAATGGTTTTTGTTCTAAATGAGATGGATGGAATTCTACGTGAACTTTTGGAAGCCCCGAGCACCGGAGGAAAGAAGGAAACAGTACTTGATCTAATGACTACTAAAGCTTGGAAGTCTCATGGGAGTTTATTGAGGTTATATTTAGGTAATGCGCTCCATATATTAAATGAAATGACCGATGAGCAGATGATCTCCTTTACGTTGAAACGTCTCAAAGCATCTGTAGTGTTTTTGGCGGCATTTCCAGTCCTCTTAAGGAAATATATTCGGGTAATTGGGAATTTACGTCTCTTTCTCTTTATTTTGAATGTCTTTTTTAGGGACATTTACATACATACCATACAATCTTTACATATTTACATATCTAACACATACACTTCAATATATACATTCATAACAATCAAATGTTTAACATCACATCAAAAATGTCACTTTTACTAACCATTAAATGTCAAAACTGCCTTTTTATGTGTAAATTTATAGCAGAAAGGTCGTATACATGTAAATGTCAAACTTTAGGTGTTGTATATGTAAATTCATAAAAATTGTGTAGTACATATATAATATTCCCTTTTTTAAAAGATCAAGACTGCCTTTTTTTCTTTCAATGATGTTATTCCAAAGAGTATAGTATCAAAATGGTCCTCTGAGTATTTCTTAGTTGTTATTTTAGTCTCAGAATTTATAAAAGAGTCAAGTTAGTCTCCATGCTCTTTTAATATGGGCTAAAAGTCTTCTAGGAGGGACTAATTTAACCCTTATTAAAAGAGTATAAGGACTAGTTTGGCACTTTTATAATTTTTGGGGCTAAATTGGGGCTAAAATGACATAACATGTAATTATTCAGGGGACTATTTTGGCACTTATACTCGTTTTCTTAATAAAAGTCTCTTGCAGGTTGTACTTCAGACATGTAATTAGTCAGTAATTAGTCAGGGGACTATTTTGGCACTTTACTCATTTTCTTAATAAAAGTCTCTTGCAGGTTGTACTTCATACATGGGGTACAGGAACAGGTGCACTTCCGGTGGTTTCCTTTTTATTCCTGAGAGACTTATGTGTGCGGCTTGGTTCGGATTGTCTTGAATCATGCCTGAAAGGAGTGTATAAGGCCTATGTGATGAATTGCAAACTACCAAAACATCTTACTAGGTCAAAATTACAACACATCAATTTTCTTGGAAATTGTATTTGCGAATTATATGGTTTGGACACAATAAGCGCATATCAACACGCCTTTGTCTCTATTCGTCAATTAGCGGTGGTATTACGCGGTTCCATCAATGAAAGGGGGCCTCAGGTGATTTTAAACCATCATCATTCTAATTTGAAGAAATAATGAGTTTCTTTGTTTCAACATTTTCGAGTTCAAATCAGCCATTTTGACCAGGAAATGCCTAGTTATTTATTTTATTACAGGGCTTAACTTGTATTGTTGTTACTTCCTAAAGGCAGTGAAAGGGAAAAAGAAAGGAAAAAATCAGCAAGAGAGCAGTAAGCCTTCAAAGAAACAAGTTGAGGTTAGCACTTGCTAAATATTATGCATTGTGCATCTTTTGTCTTGTTTTTTGGGTACATGCAGGACTAATCTGTTATTTTTCTTTGCAAAATATCATTTTCTAACCGGTGTATATATATTACCATTGTTTAGATTATTAGCATAGTATTCCTTAATGAAAAAACAAACTGTGGGGTATTCAACCCCAGAAGATTGAGGAGGCATAAATGGTGATGGTAGTTTTCCAACAACTCCAAGAAAATGTAGGATTGAGAGACGTGGATGGGAAAAAAGAACTCCTCGGGAAGAGGGGTTTCTCATTTCATATCATTTATCCCCTTATTATTTAAATGGAGGCTATTTGTAGGGATATAAGTCTACTTAAGGTTCAATAACTATTTAATAAGTACCTAAAAGTTCCACTCAACTTAAATGTCTTTTAATCATTTAATTATAAACCCAAAACTAATCCATTGTAGGTTCCCAACATAGAGAATGAAAATATTGGGCTATGTAGCACAGATATATTTACATTATTTATTCATGTAAATACATATCAAAAGTGGGAGTATTTGACATTGTAATAAGATGTGTAGACCAATGTTAGCATGGTGAGGGCCTTAAAATAGTTAGTTAAATTAGATTAAACAAGTAGTACAACTCTAAATAGTTACGAGTGGCAGGACATGAATCAATCAAGTGTGGCGGTTGTTGCAGTTAATGATGATTGTTTAATGAATGTCCATTAAAAAGTTGAATAATTTTTTATGGCGCCTTTGTTAGATTTCGAACTTATCATGATCATCTTTATCATAGCCTTATACACATATTTTGGTTGGCTTTATAAATTCACATTTCTTACTCCTGTCGGATTTTCTCGGAGTTTTAAATCAATTCTTTGAATCATTTTGTACATCTTCTATCTATGCAACCTTATTTTACTCCTCACCTTTCTAATCCCTTGTTGCTAATTTTATCTGATCTTGTAATAGTTATATTTTCTACTCTTTTTTGTATATATTCACATCACGCAAGTCTATTTTTAATTTTCTTATCTTTAATACTTGTCACTCCAAGTGTTCCTTAAATATAATTATTCCTTAATATATCTTTCATAGTTATACTATGCATTCATCTTAATATTTTATTTTTTTCCATTCTTGCATATTTATGATTTTTTGCTCCTCATTATTTGGGTCAATATAATTTTTAAAATTTATAAAACCATAATCTTAATTACAATTTTATAAAATATTTTTTAAAGTCTCTATAATATCTTCTTATAATAATAATGCTGACATATTTTCCCATTTTAACCATTCAATTTTTATTCTAGAAGCTATATTTGCCTTTATATCTCCATTCTTCTATATAAAAAAATCCATGATTTTTAAATTATAGGGATAATTATATGCATACCGCTCCAAACATTGATATTTACTAGTTAACCACCCAGGTAATTTTTTTGAACTATCGAACTGATATATTTACGCATGCCACAATCATACTATTGAGAATTTGATAAAAATGAAAAATATGGAAGTTAACCTCCAAGGTGATTTTTTTGAACTACCGAACTGATATATTTACGCATGCCACGATCATACCATTGAGAATTTGATAAAAATGAAAAATATGGTTTGGGGTTTTACCACTAATTTTGTTATTTGGGTGAGAATCTGAAAAATGGATGAAAGAGGGTGGTTGATATGTAAATAGCAAGTTTCAGGTGGTCTATATGTAGTTGCTTTGTAAATATATTATACCTAGATATAACTATATCTTGTAATAATATTTATTTATAATTGTTAATATCCCACGCATAAAAAATCTCTTGTCATATAATAAGTATCTATTCTATGAAGTATAAGAACTTTATCTTCTGAACTTTTTATCCATCGTTCTAAGTTTTCATTTTCTTCAATGAATTTATTGCCAATTAAAACTATATGATTGGTTATTGAAAAAAATTCGATCTCATTTTGAATGCTTTTTTTTAAAACATATTTGAAAATCCTATGACACTACTAACTATCTGTAATACTATAAACATATCTTTGGCACACACTTTTTTCTTTAATGCACGCTGAATCAGTTATTGTGCTAATCATGTCCTTAAGATTTTTAAAATTATATGATGATTCTTCTTTGCTCTTAGTACTTTTCAATTGTTTTAACACAAATTTTTTTTATCGTAAATCTTTTGGGTTGAAACCAAATTGATTTTCTAAGTTGATGGAATTTTTTGAAGTCTATGATTGGTGCAATCATCCAATTTACTGTTCTGAGATACATAAGATTTACAAATATGAGACATGCAAGGCAAGGCTGATGGATAGGTATA